ATTCGCATGCCGTCGCCCGCGAACCGGTATCACCTGTGCCTCTACACGTTCATGTTCTCCTGGTACTTTGTCAGTTAAAAGGATTCAAAAAGGAGCGAATAATCGAGAAATAAAAAGATTTTAAATAACGCCCACGTTATCTTTTGTTTTAGGTTTGCAAGATTTTTACGGGTTTTTTGTTGCATACATTTTAAGGAGTGCCAAGGAAGGATGTCCTTCGGTCTAAGTTTTACAAAGTAATTAAATACAATAATAATATGTTGTACCGTTTAAAATAAGAAAAAACAAAGTTGGCTATGTCGACTACCTTTATATTGTTGACTTTTGTTTTAGATAAAGATTAGATTATACCCCTTTAGTGTCGGACTGGTAGAAAACGCTGTTTTGTGTTTTTGTATTCATAATTCCGTTAACCGACTTTTTTTTCTATTTTTCTCGCACTTTCGAAGCGTTCGCTAATTATACAGCGTCGTTCTAAATCCGTACTGCCGTGACACTGGCCGTAAAATGGCTATTTCCGAGATCGACTCGCAACTCGTTTTTTTCCTAAGACCACATTTCTTTCTTGAGACAAATGTCAAGTGTACACATCATAGTAGTATCTATTTCTGGTCCTATATTTTTATTGCGATCACTAAATTGATAAGATCACCTTTCACCTCACAACAATAATTTATAGCAACACTAACTTAAGCCAGTGACTCTGTCCGTGCGAAATTAAAAAAAATACTTAGTAAGTAATCTGTTCTGCCGGACTATGTCCATTTATCCCAAATTTCTTCAAAATCCGTTAAGTTGTTTTGGTAATAATTAGTAATAGATATCCATCCATCCAAACACGCATTTATATTATTATTATGAAGTGTCGTAGTGTATTTCACATGACATGTTTATACAATTTTAGAAAGAGAAATAGAGAAAAAAGTTCTACCAAAGATCAGACAAACGGGAAGACTAGAATTACTATAAACATTGGTAAAAACTGGTACACAAAATGATATACGCGACTATTTCCTATTTAAGTTACTAATGTCTAAAGGAGCACAAACTATTAAATCCGTAACTGCAATTAAGGTCAGACCGTACATAATTATTTTTAACTTAACACTAATGTAAGTAACTTGAATGAATATCACAGTGAAGTTGGAAATCAATGAATCTATTCTTTAATCCGTAACATTATTAAATTGATGATGTAAACATTAATTAAAAAATATTTATCATAGACAATTAATTACTCAAACGTAAACAATAATTTGCAAGAGTCAAGGTGAACAATATATTGCAATACAACAAAGTAATATGGTCACTATGCAAAATGTATTACGTAAAAAACTACATATTCATATGTAGATTGTTTTAAATTAACTTGTAACCCCAAAGTCGGTCGCACAGAATTAAAAAGAATTGAGCCTGTCCCACAATTCTTGTACATTGTCAGGTAACAATTCAATATATAAAACACTAGCTGTTGTCCGCGACTTCATTGCCTATGTTACTCACAGATAAATTACCTTTCTAACGGTGAAAGAATTTTTAAAATCGGCCCAGTAGTTTTTACTCGAATCGAATACATACAAAAAACAAATGTTTCCTCTTTATGATATTAAACATATATAGATGTGTTGGAAATAACAGATTTTGGTACTCTATCTGACGTCATTTTTAAACTATCTGAGCCTCTATCAGCCATTGGTAGGACAGGATCTTAGTAAGTAATCTATGTGTTCTTCCAGATTGCAATTAACATCTATGCCAAGTTACAGCGAGTTCCGTTAAGTCATTTTGGAGATATAAGTAGTAACAAACATCTATCCACCCAAAATTTTGCATTCATCAGTATAACATATGAAGTTTTAATACTAGCAACTTATCCAAGCTTTATTCGGCTAGAAAGATATAATTATTACCTGAAAAAAATATATCGACTTCAACTGTTTACAATATTCAATACAATATAATGTTTATTAAAACAAATTTACTTTGTTTATACGTACAGCTTTGGTTTTTAATAAACTAATTAAAACGCCAAACTCACTTCAAGTTAGTCCCTTGTCGGTACCGACTAATTTCTTAAGATAGAGAAAAATTTTAAGAAACAAGTCAGTTCCGACACTAAACTAAACGTGATATCTACTCGTATACTAATGTTATAAAGAAGAAAGATTTGTATTTTTGTATACATTGAAATGACTCAATAACTACTGGGACGATTTTAAAAATTCTTTCACCGGAAGAAAGGTAATTTACGTATACATTTTTAGTGTATTTCTCTATATTGCTATAAATCATATTAAGTTATCCTTATTGATATCACTTTTAACTTGAATTTCCAATCTATAGTAACACGTTTATGTTCTTAATATTTCAAAGTGATTGATTCGGTGTCTAGTTTATTCCGCGAGATAGCTTTCAGATAAAATATAAAAATAACTTTATATGACAAGGCGAAAGCTAAGATATATTAGTAAATTATATATGCAAAAAATGTTGAATTATATTTGTTAACTATAGTTTTATAGCAATACTAGTTTTCGCCCGCGACTCCGTGCGCGCGGAATTAACAAAAAACAAAAGTGAGAGTAGCCTATGTGTTCTTCCAGACTATCCTCTACGTCTCAGCTAAATTTCATAGAGATCCGTTTAGCCGTTTAGGCTACAAACTCTAACAAACATCCATCCATCCATATTAAGTAGGATTCGTAAGAAGTAAGATTTGCTACAAACGATTCTTTTGGAATATTCTACCTTATTTTTCACCCTTATGGATCAAGGGAACATTAATTAAAAAAAATATAATTAGCATAACTGATTGTTCACTATGAAACATGTGCTTTTACGTATTTGATATATCGTATTAGATATAAAATCCATTTTTTCTTATCCAGAGGAAAAATAGTATAAGTTAGTTTACTACAGTATTTTAAGGGTCGTTTGACCGGTTCGTCTTTTGTTGAATAAATTGATCGAATTGAATTAAATTAATTGGACGCACGTAACCAAAGGTCTAGGCCAATATTTGACCTTCACTCTTATGACACTTTAAAATGTATGCCAAGAATTAATTAAATTGAGAATTCAAGTTCTCACGTCGTGACAATGTAGGCAAGTGTAGAATAATTAAAAAAGTTCGTTATTGTTATTTTTCTTCTAAATACTTCACACACTAAGTCATTAATTAGTTTCTAAGGGGTCTCTTAATTACTCTGTGTACAGTGGTGATTAGAGCTTAGTAGAGCGTCAGTGGCTCAGTGGATTAAGCACTTGACTTGTAATCTACAGGTCTTGGGTTCGAATCCCGCTGTACAAATGTGATTTTCGATTTTTCGAATTTTCATACGTACATAATTTACCCGACGTTCTTACGGTGAAGAAAAACATCGTGATGCAACATACATATCGGCTAAGAAATTCAAAGATATGTGTGAAGTCAAGCAACCCGCAGTGGGCCAGCGTGGTTTAAGTGTGGCCTAGTCACCCTTTACTTATGGTAGGCTCCGAGTCCTTCTGTGGGGACTTATAGTGAGCTGGTGATTATGATGATGACACTGGTGATCTTATTTGACTCGGTAAGACGCGTTGAGGATATGATGGTGATGGCAGACAGTAAAGGTAAAAAACCGACTTCCAAACAAAATACACTAAAAACAAAATATTCTCAAAATAATCAGTACACTAAAAAGTAACGAAATAATTCCTTGAAAATAGTAAACCTCCCTTATTGTAGTTCTTATGTCTATATTGTACAATTATTATTACTTTGATGTCGGTGTTAAAAATATATATCGACGAATTGAGTACCTCCTTCTTTTGGGAATTCGGTCAAAAAAGGTTATTTTTTCCTTGACTACTAATTTAAATACATGTGGCACTATGATGAAATAGCAATAGTAATAATTTAATAACGCTATTATTACTCAAGACACTGGATATTAATTAATTTTATCGCAGTACAGTTTAATTATATTTTCATTTTGTACTTGATAATTGTTTGTATTTAATTAAAGGAATAGTTTGTGCTCCCTCGGGAGGGTAGCGGGTGCAACTACCCCTTTACTTTACCATCTATTATCGTTACTATTTACCTACCTCTAATCGACGAAGGGGACACTCAGAAAAGAGACATTTCTCCTTCCTATCCGTCCCTTTCGCAAATCCACTTTCTGGCACACACTTATCAATACATTGAATTAACTCGTACAGCAGTCTCCATAAAGCCAATTTTGTTTTAGAATATTATATTTGTTACCTATTATCTATACTAATATTATAAAGAGGAAAACTTTGATTGTTATGAATAGGATAAAAAAACTACTGGACCGATTTTAATATTCTTTCACCGTTAGAGAGGTAATTTATCTGTGAGTAACATAGGCTATATTTTTTTAAATTATTTGATCATTATTTTTAATTTTCACACAGAGGGAGTGTCGGGTAAAAGCTAGTCTTTAATGAAATGCGAACAAACTATCAAACATGTCAGCTTTAAACTTTTGTCGGTAATAGTTGAAAGTTAGTATATTTTATTTATCGAAAATAAACAACCATACTTTGCACTATCTATTGCGGTTTTATTTCCATTTTGGAAACATAAAAATCTACTTAACACAATCTATTAGAATGAAAGGCAATAAAAGTTACATTTAAAGGGAATGTCTTAATAATGTAATACTTAAAGAGAAAGTTATATTTAAGTGATTTAAGCGTGTAAAAATTTCTAAATGCTCACCAGTATCGTGTGAAAAACATGTAGCTTGATTTGAGATACACAAAAGCTTTTTCTTTGACGATAACTGGTTACAAAAAAGCAATTTTTTGTAACTGCTTTGATACCAACATGACCCAAATTAGGAACAACAGACCATTGGTACCAAGTAACATTGTCGACTCCCAAAGCGAATTGATTGATTTTGTACAGTAAGAAATTTCTACACGTTTTTTAACTTAGTGTATGGGTCTGGTTGGTTTTTAAATTAACTCCAGTTTGTTTTTTGTTGCAGTGTATGAAAGCATATGTGGAGTTCGAGGTGTGCAATGGCGCGTACGAGGTTTCATGCCCGGACGCATCCTGCCGC